GATCCTTGCTTACCTTATGGTTAGATGTTTCCTATGTGCTGTGTGTTGTGTACTGCAGTGGGAGTTCTACGTCGGTGTTATTTAAAGCCTTGTGTGTTATGACGTGGTCGGGGGTGTGTTTATACAAGTAGTAATGAGGTCAAACATGCTGTTCTGGTTATTGATCTCTTTTGCCTGTTTCTGCTCATCTATTAATTTATTATCCTTATAGTGGCGGTAAATTTGGTATTCTTCCTTTATATTCATTAATTTACCTTTCTTTGCTACTTCGATCAGTTCCATGACTTGCGAAATTGGGCCGTATTGATGTTGTCTATTTAGGATATGTTGAGCATAGGCGGAGTCATTTTTATTGAATCTTATACTTCTTATATGTTCATTATAGCATGTTACTAATGTTCTGCCTGTTTGACCTATATACACTCGTTGGCACTCCTGGCAAGTCAACTTGTATATGCCACTTTGTTCGTAAGAATTTATGTTTTGTTTGTGGTTTAGTATTTTGCCTAATGTATGATTTACTTTAAAAGCTATTCTTACGTTCGTTTTTTTAAATAGTTTCGTAATTCTTCTTGTGTAGCTTCCGTTATATGTGTAGGATACCCATTTCTGTTCTCTTCTTTCAATGGAAGCGCCTGTTTTTTGTTGTTGAAATTTATGATACATTCGTGTAATGAGTTCTTTATTGTATCCATTGTTTTCCGCGATGTTAATAATTGTGTTTAATTCTTTATTTTTTGCTGTGTTATCCATAGGTAGGATGGTTAATCTATGTAGCCAATTTTTGTTCTTTGGGATGACAAGATTTATTATTTATCGTTGCGTCTGTCATTGTGGGTTTTCTAAATATCTCCATTCTTACTTGCCCATGGTTGTTAATTAGTTTTAAGTCTAGGTACGTTATTTGATTATTTTCCTCTTCATTTAGTGTGAATTGCAAGTTTTTCTTTTGCTTGTTAAATTGATCTAAAATGTGTTGGGGTGTTATTTTTGATCGGTTATAAATCATAATTATATCATCTACGTATCTGTTATAGTAGATGATGCGTTTATCTTCTAGTAGAAGTTTTACTTTTCTTTGTTCGAAATGTTGTAGAAATACTTCCGCCATTAAGCTTGATAAGGGGGAGCCCATGGCTACACCCGAGTTTGGTTTATAAAATTTATCATTGTATTGGAAGTAATTTTGATTCAATATCATTTGGAGGATTGTGATAATTTCGTCTTTGCTAATTTTGTCTATATGATTTTGGTTAAGTGAATTGTTAGTTATGTGGATTACATCGTTTATTGGAATGTTTATGTATAGATTTTTAATATCCATTGTGAGCAGTTTGTGTTCTGGGTTTAGTTTTAGTTTGCTAATATTATTTGCGAGTTAAATCCTACCTGAGTGACAGATATCAGAGAAGATTAATAAATAATAATTATTCTATGGGTATTTCTGATTGGCAGAAAGTTAAACAAGGTGTGCCACAGGGTTCAGTATTTGGCCCCTTGTTCTGTCTTTTATATATTAATGACTTGCCTTACTTAATAAATAAAATATCAGAACCAATTTTGTATGCTGATGATACAGCATACTGTGTTACAATTCTGATTCTGTGGAGCATGTAATGGTATTGAAAACGATACTGAACAAAATAGACACATGGTTTATGAATAATTCGCTATCATTTAATTTTAACAAAACTAACTATGCGCATTTTTCATCAAAAGTAAATACTACATCAAACATAAATATAGACTATAAGGATGCTCAAATTAAAAATACTTGTAATACAAAATTCCTAGGACTAATCATAGATAATACCTTATCACAGAAAGATCAAATAAATCATTTGGTAACTAAGCTGAATGCGGCTAGTTATTCTATTAAAACCCCATCTGCAGTTATGACTCAGGGAGTTTAAGGATGATTTATTTTGCATATGTACATTCCATTATGTCGTATGGATTAATATTTTGGGGCAATTCGACTCATTGTAGTTTAATTTTTAAAATCCAAAAACGAATAGTGAGAATTATTATGAATGCAAGAAATAAGGAGTCTTGTCGCTCATTGTTCAGGCAGTTAAATATTCTGCCCTTATATTCTCAATATATATTTTCTGTATCAATTTTTGTTGTTAAGAATTTAGGTATATTCAAATTTAATTCTGCTATACATAGCATTAACACCAGACAAGGCTTGACTTACATCTTCCAAGTAATAAATTAGCTAAAGTGCAGAAGGGTGTATATTATTCAGGAATTAGGATATTCAATAATCTACCACAAGGCATCAGGAATCTATTAAATGATATTACTAAATTCAAACAGTGTCTAAAAGAGTTTCTTCTCGCTGGTTCATTTTATTCTTTAAATGAATATTATGAATGGAACACAAGGGGTGATCTTGGTTCTTATAAACAGTATCTAAAATTAACCTTAACAGTCCTATTAACTAACCAAAAATATATAAATAATCATATATTTTAGATCTGCATATATACCAACTATGACTTTTATTTATTTTAACATACAATCTCTTGTTGTTTTATGAATTTATTTATTTATTTTTGAATGTATTTATTACCATAATAATTTTAGTACACGTTGAGAGAAGTTATTTATTCCATTTATTGTTCATGCATGTTAGATGTTTTTGTAGTTTTTCTTTTGATGTATGAGTGATGTAACATACATTATTTGATATTGTATTTTTTATTGATAATATCCATTCATATGCATTGTTTTTATAAACTGGATGAATTTTATAAGATAAAAGGTTAATATGTTTTCATCTAGTATTTAAGTCTTGTTGTAGTCACATTTGTGGGATTCTCTTTACGAGTGTCTTTGTCATTACTCCGATGACAACCCACTTCTTCGGAACAGTTTGTTGGCCCTGAAAAGGACCGTGGCTGCTGAGATGATTGATCGGTGAGGTAGCGCGGCGCGCACCGGTAAGGAGAAAGGCTAGTTGCGGTGAGTGGAGTGGCCGCAGTGCGACCGTGGCAGCTGGTTGCTTGGTTGCCGTGCGGCAAGTGATGGAGGTTGCTCGATCGCAGTGCGGCGGTTGCTGCTGGTGGTGGTGAAAGGCTAGTCGAGCGCGGTCGCAGGAGCCATGAGGCAGTGGCTACGCCAGAAGCCCAGTGGGTCGGACCGTAACACGACCACCGGCGAGTCCAGGCGCTGTGCCCCAGTGAGTCGGGTGTGAGAGCGCTGGAGGGCCGAGGCAGTCGTGCCCGGCGCAGCCTGCCGATGTCTCCGAAGACCGAGCGCTGGCGACGAAGCCTGCTGGCTGAAGTTGCTTGCTGTCTGATGAACTGAATTAAACTGGATAACTCGACTCTGGGGTCGCTCCTTTTTATACGCTGGTCGGTGGGGCGGAGCCAAACTCGAAAGTGAGGAGCAAGAATTGATTGGCTAGCGCGCGTAATGGTGTAGACGCGGACTATTGCCGAGCGTAGTATAAATGCGATCGTTTGAAGCAATCTGATTGGTTAGCGCGCGTGATGGTGAAAAGTGATGTGAAGAGCGAGCGTTGCAGAAATGCGTGATAATGTGGGATGTTCCCACACATTTTATTATGTTTAGTGACTGTGTTGTCTATGTTTTATATTATGTTATTTTGACTTGTGTCAGTGATTAGTTGGAACAATTGTTTTGATTTCTGACACATTCTATATCCAGTGGTGTGTCAGCTTGTTTCTCGCCCTGTAACTGGATCTAATTGAATATAAGAATAAATTATTATTATTATTATTATTATTATTATTATTATTATTAT